TTGTAGCAAATGTGTAAACATTTATTAAATTCAGAGTGAATTTTCATCAAAGAAAAAGTTCCTATTATAATAGCCAGTTCTCAGATTCAAAAATCCATAAAAGTTAAACACAAAAAGGGCTATTAGACCAATGATTCTAAAATTCCTTTGAAATCACAGGATTTTGTATTCCATTCTGTTATTATCCTAGTACTCAGCTTTGAGTCCAAGAATGTGTTTGATAAAAGTATATCTTGGATTTGGTCAATGCATCTCTTCCAGAAAGCCATCGACCCTGTTTGAAGAAAGCAGCGGTTAAAGTATTTCACTGTTTACTGACATAGTTTCCAGAAGGATCTTGCCTAACCAGCTTGTGGCTGGTGACTCTTAACCATGCTTTCTATGCTAGCTGAAAGCCCCTGTCACATTCACAATTTCTACAAAAATTTCACTAATTTCAATTTGACAGCAAGAATACAGCTGAGTTTCTTTAAACTTTCATTGAAATGCCCTTTTCTTAGTCTTCAGTTATTTCCATAGTTCCCATCTGCATCCTTTCATTTTTTTCAAAAGTGTTTTAAAAATGTTTAGAGTAGAAATATTTTTAGGTTTCCATTGTTGTTCTCTCCTGAGCCATAAATAAAAGCAGAGTAAAGCCAGGCTCCTATTCACTACTTCTTTATGACATTTTCCTTTTCTTGCTATAGCATCGCCTGGATACTCCTGCTGAGTTGCTGGTTCATTAGGACACCAAATTCTTCACAGACTCATTGCTTCCAGTGTTTTCTCCATTGTTGCATCCTGTATTTCTTCCTCCAGCATATGCAGATGTGTATTTGGCTGACTGGGAGCACATTTTCTTTCAATAGGATCACTACTCTAGAAAATATTTATTATTTTAAGTTGGGGTTTTTTTTTTTTCGGTTTTATTATAACAACAGGACATTCTTTGAGGACTATAACCTGTTAGGGAGGGATGGAATCCATCTGTCTAGAAGAGCCAAGGGAATCTTTTTGGAGCAGGTTGGCAAACTTGGTGTGGTGGGCTTTAAAATTAGTGACTTGAGATGTGGGACCCAAAATGGTAATGCTTGTGCCATCGTATCCAACTGGGGAATAAGCCAGGCCAACCAAAGCAGCAACAAATATTCCTTAGCTGCCTCCCATGATGAGAAATGGAAGGCCAACCATCTCAAAGGTGTGTATGGTTATGGTGGATCCATTGCAGTGGTGGTCTTCTACAGGTCACCTGACCAGGAGGGAGGTGATTCTACCCCTCTACTGTGCTCTGTTGAGACCTCCACCTAGAGTACTGTGTCCATTTTTGGGGCCCCCAACATTAGAAGGACATGGACCTACTGGAGTGAGTCCAGAGGAGGCCACGAGGATGATCAGAGGGCTGGAGCACCTTTCCTATCGACAGACTGAGAGAGATTAGGCCGTTCAGCCTTGAAAAGAGAAGGCTCTTGGGGGGTCTTATAGGGACCTTCCAGTACCTGAAGGGGCCTACAAGAAAGCTGGGGAGGGACTTTTTTTTTTTTACAAGGGTAGGTAGTGATAGGATGGGGGGTAATGGCTTCAAACTGGAAGAGGGGGGATTTATATTAGATGCTAGGAAGAAACTCTTCACTGTGAGGGTGGTCAGACACTGGAACAGGTTTCCCAGAGACGGTGTGGATGCCACCTCCCTGGAAGTGTTCAAGGCCAGGCTGGATGAGGCTTTGAGCAACCTGGTCTAGTGGAAGGTGTCCCTGCTCATGGCAGGGGGGGTGGGACTAAATTATAATTAAGGTTCCTTCCAACCCAAATCATTTTATGATTCTATGATTCATTATTCTCAAATCACTGAGGGAAATTTTGAGTAGTATAAGACTGAAGAGCCCCCCTTTCTGATGCTGAGCCTTTGCTGATTACTTTCTTATGCATGCTCGTTAGCCAATTCTTAATCCAGTTAAAACATGCTTTATTGATATTGTGTAGTGCTATGTTTTTAATTAGAATATTGAATGATACTAGGTCAAAAGGCACAAAAAAGTTGAAGTGTATTATACCTACATCGTTACCTTCAGCAACCTAACTTGAAATCTCATCAAAGAACAGAAGTAGATTTGTTTGACAAGGCTTATTTTGCACAGAACTATGTTGACTAACATTAATTATATTCCTATGTTTTAATAATTTATTAATTGAATGTCTTTTCAGTTTTCCTATTATTTCTTCCAGGACTGATGTTGGGCTAAGCAGCCTGGGAATACAGGTATCACCTGCTTGCCCTTAGTGGAATACCAATATAAGATGTAGCACTGCTTCTTACTAGAATAGCATTGACATTGTTCATGCCTCCTTTAGGTCTCCTAAATATGCCCTCTTTCTTACTTTTGTCGTCCTAGCTGTTCTTTTACAGATGGAAAAATAATCTCATCAGCAAATGTGGAAGTAAAATAGTTTATGTAAATAAACTACCGAAGGCCTAGTTATGCTATTGTGCAATATATTAGAAATGAAAGTAAATTTAGTGTGAATGTGGGAAAATAAGTTACACAACTCTGCCTCAGTGTTACAACATGATGATAGGTGCTTGAATTAGAAAATGAAATTGAAGAAGCATCTGTAATACTGAAAGGCTGTTATGTTCTTATTCTTGGAACTGGCTTGTCAGTGAGATATAAAATAGAAATAGGTACAGTCAGTCACATGTGCATTGGGATCTTTTCTGGATTACAAAATCCATATTAAAGTGTTCATATCTGTTCTAGCTTTGTTCTGGTGGAATTATAATATCTGGGCTGGACGCTTTTGGCTCCCTGCATACTTGATGTTTCTAGTTATGAATAGGCTTTCATTTCATCATGATTAGGAAAGCCAAGTAATAGACAAAAGCAGTGTCTAGGAGGGAGTGGATAATCTATTTACTGTTGAATTTTATGTTGTCCTTCATTCCTCAAATAATCTGAAATAATTAGCATTTAAAGTACACGACTACAGCTGCTGCAAGAGAATGCCTGGGAGGAGAACCATTGCTTCACCTGCACAAATTTGTCACCTTATTAAATACTGCACATGCGATAGGCAAAAGAGCCTATATAACTTTAGGAACAGGAAGGGTCACGTCACTGACTATACCGAGAGCTAGAGCAGTAGGACAACACTAAATCCTGGGCTGTGTCCAAGGCTTGTCTGGGTCAAGACCTGGATTGTCTGGTGGTTACTGGGTGCCCATTTCTGCCTGGGATTCCCAGAAATCAGGCATATCAGTAAGCAAGGTCATCCATTTAAAAAAAAATGAAAAAATAAGGCAGAGAGACATTTAATAGAAAATGATCTGCTGAGAGGTAGAAGATATGCTTTATTAAATCACAATGCTTAATTTGTGTCAATACTTTTGTTAAAGTGGTATGGAGTAGATTTCATGTTTGGATTCTAATTTAAGAAACTGCTTGATTGTCTAACTTTCAATATGAGCTTAAGTCTTACCGAAGCTGAAGAAGTAAATGCATAATCAGCTGAATTATTTGGGATGGTTTTGCATGTATCCTTACACATGATAAAACAGAGCCTAAATTAACAGTATGTTATACACTTTCTAAAACTAATACAGGGATCTTAGTTAAGACAAGTTATACAATGATTTACTTAAAATCCCAAATATGCGTATAGTTTTTAAAACCTTACATGATATGCATACCTTCCTAACATAAAACAGGGGAAAATCTAAACAGTGTATTTAAGATTTTATATCAATATTTTTATGGAATATTATTTAATAACTTTAAGGCTTACATCAAAATAATGAATATTATATTCATTACTACGTGGCTTAATCCTTTTTATATGACTAGAAAATTAGTTTAAAGAAACAAAATTAAAATAATTCTAGACATGTCACCATAACATGATTAAAAATAAACTAGGTACTGCAATATTGTACAAAAATATAGCTACTTTAAATGCAAACCCCTCTTATAGGCTATTTTTCTCCGCTTATGTATGTTAGGGGAATTAAAAAGAAGTTTGTTTAAATGACTGATTTTTTTTTCAGAAAAAAGGCTGTAAAGCAAGTCTTGCTATTATTTAACAAATATTAATCATGCTTACACAGAGGCCACTTGCGAAAAATTTATTACAAGAAATTTGTGACCAGTCATGCCATAGGAAGATAAGAAAGCCACAGGGCTGAAATGACAGTAAGGTTTGTGTATGCAGTGCTCCTCTGGTAGTTAAATTGCAGGAATGTGACATTGGTCTGAAATGAGAGCTGTTTGAAGCAGCAACTGTCAATCTCTGTAATCAAAGGATGGCCCAAAGTCTTACTCAATTAGCCATTTTGGCATGACCACTCAGTTTATAAAGTCCTACCAACTCAAGAAGCAATCTCTCCTCAAGAGGCACTTCAAGAAGACTGTGTGGTCTGAGGACGGCGAACAGTCACCCAGGACTATAGCTTGGACTTTTTTTTTTTTTTTCCCCAAAAGTGCAGCAATGCCTCATTTAACTGACTGCACTTATTACAAGGTGAGCCAAATGTGAATTTAGGTATGAGTGACTCTTTGCTGCTGTTGATATTCTTGAAGTTGGTTGGATTTTTTTTTTCCTTTATACATCTGTTTACTCTTTCAAGTACGAAAGAGTAAATACACCGTGATATTAATTTTTGAGTATATATATGCTTGTAGATTTGATTTTATTGATAAGTGTTTTCAACAGAGATCATTCTTAAATAAGAAGAGAAAAATGTGTAGCATACTTTCGATCTTTTCTCAGGATCATGTTTAAATTTTAAATTCTACTTTTCTCTGGTAATTATTTGGAAAGTTTATTCAGCTGTGTAAGAGGAAAATAGTACACAAATAATAACTGTGTAAGGGTGAAAAACTGGAAAAAAAAGATTTAAGGTTAATAATAATTCTTTCTGAATGTTATTAAAGCTGAATCTATTGTTTTGAAGTTTTTTAAGTGAACATATGGGCAAATACTGGTACCAGTAACTTGAAACTTTAGCAATTATTTCCATTCCTTCCCAGGTACAAACACACTTGGAAAATCAGTCTAGATACCACATACAGCAAAGCCAGAGGCACCAGGTGAAGCAGTACCTGACCCTCGATACCAAGCTGTCCAGCCAGACCCTCTCCCTGTCCCACTCCCACACAATCCAGCCTGCAGGAGTGACCTCCATTTTAAGGAACGGACACATGCCTCCCATCAGCGATACTACCACACCAGAAAGTCCCGTTACCAAGCTGCTGGCCCTTGGAGGAGAACACGAAAATGTGGTAGGGCCAGGCTGGTGAAAGAAATGGGGAACTGGGCTTTACGTACTTCTATAAAAATGTTACATGACCCACATTGTATTGGTAGTGAGCAAGAGATTACTTTCTTTACTTTCATGGGGTCTTTGGTTGCACCACTTGCTCCCTGAATCCTTTTGGATTACGTGGGTGATTCCCTTGAATGCCTGTGAATAGCTTATTGCATGATCAGGCTTCTAAATTACTGCCAGTTAAAATGTTCTGTTGCATCTTTTTATCTGTGTCATATATTGTTGTACATTTTTGAATATGTACTTTGTAATGCAAAACTTTATTTTTTTCAGACGAGAGTTATTTCTGTCTAAAAGTATTATCTTAGCTGCATAACAAAGTTAAATACCAATTACCTTAAAGATGTAACTGAAAGAATCGCTCATTAATTTTTCAGTTAGCTGATGTATTTATATACGGGTTATCTTGGGTAAATTGGCGTAGATATGCTAACTTCAGTGCCACCATCGATTTTAATAGAGGTACAGCTATTATACAATGTCAGATTCTCAGACAGTGTGAGATGTAGATCATTATGACCTTTAATACTTCAATAGATTTCAAGCAAGCGTGCTTATTATGTAAAAAGGGAATTCCTACAGAAATAAGAAATAGAGATGCTGAATCATACCTTGGTCTTTAATATAATGGAGGAATCTTTACAAATACCCAGTGACCCATTTGAGTATTTGGACGTTATGTAGCTAAATGCAAGGAAACTGAAAAAAAGAAACCAAACAGTCCCTGGAGAGCCCCATTCTTTCTGCATTGACAACCGGCATTTTATGTCAGGTTTATGCATTACTGGAGCCACTCGTTTGCAAAGATTACTTTAGATGGCCTTTGTGGTCACCTCTCTGCTTGGAAGTGCAGAGTGCTGGAACCATTATCAGGCACTTTGGTTACCTGTCCAGGAACAACCAGTGCCTGCCCTTGTGCCACTCTCTGTCCTGGAGACCAAATCCACTGCTTGTAAACCACTCTCCTGAACTGCATCTGGTGATGTCTGGGAGAACAATAGTTGGCACAGGCCTAAGTCCTTGCGGGCATCACTGCAACAATTTGAATAATCCCTCCCATAGCCCCAGGGAGATGACTGGCACATTGTAATTTCCTAGTTGCAGATCTGCCCTGTGGTTCAGTGTAGGCTCTAGGTGTATTAGTAAAAAATACAGAGCCAACACAGAGATTGGTGCACTGAACTGTAGTCACCTATATTGTTGAATTTCTGGTGTTTCCCAGCATCCTTTTGGCCCAGACAGCACTTTCCTAAATGAGTGTGGGCACAACTCCTTGGACAGCACATCTCAGGTTTTTGGAGAGACAGAGGAGTGTGCATATAAGCTGTGCTGGGCCATATGTCCTAAAAGTCTATATTGAAAGCTCCCTGGCCTATGTGTGTGTGGTGGTTTAAACCACAGGTAGACCATGGGGTCATGCACTTACTCTGCCCCTTCCTGGTGAGATGGGAAGGGGATCACAACAAAGGGACAGAGACAACTCGCTCACCAGTAATGGTCATGGGCAAAACAGACTCAACTTGGGGAAGAAAAATCAATTTAATTCATTACCATTCATCTGAGTATCACGGTGAGACACAACAACCACATCTTACAACACCTTCCTCCCACCCCTCCCTTCTTCCCAGGCTCAAATTACTTTGCTTCCGATTTCTCTACCTTCTCCCCCCTACTGGAACAAGAGGACAGGGAATGGGGGTTACAGTCAGTTCACCATTGCTGCTCTTCCCAGCATGAAAGTCCAAGAACAAGTTGTTCCAAAGTGAGCTTTCCATGGAGTCATGGACCTCTCTGGGCACAGCTCCTGACTCCAGCATGGGGACATCCACAGGCTACAGACGGGTCTCCAGTCCAAAACACCTCCTCACCCCTCAGCTCTGGGGGTCCATCCCCTGCTCTGACATCGAGTGACTCTTGGGTCTCAATTTCAGTCACACTTGCCCTTGGGCTCAGCTTTTCTGCTTCAGCGTGGAGTACTCTGTGGTCTACACTGGGTATCTGCTCTGCCGTTGAACTTCCATGGGCTGCAAGGGACCTCCTTGGTCTTCTACTACTCCATGCAGTTGAACTGAGTGTCTGAGGTTCTCTGTCCTCCCCCTTGTCCTCCTTCCTCCTGGCAATGAAGCTCCCTCTTTGTTTACGTCAATGGTTGTCTTTTGTTCAGGTCAATGGCCTCTCCTCCAGGTTCTCTCCACCTTCTACTTTTCAAAACAGTCCTTCCCCTCACAAATATGGATTCACAGAGATGTTTCTCTATTGCTAATTGGCCCAGCCTGGGCTGGGGTGGGGCGGTACGTCTTGGAGCCAGGGGAGCTTTCGCAAAGCTTCTCACAAGGTGGCCCCCTCCCCACCCCCCAACACAGTCTGGTATTTCCTTTTGTTGCATAGGGTCCCCTACATTTCTTTCACATACAGCTCTTCAGCTTCCAAGAGCTGCTCGAAAAGCCTCAGAGCATGTTCCTGCAGACAGCAGAGTTAACAGTGACAGCTTAATTATGGCAAGTTTTCCAAAGTTATTCTGTGAAGGGAACCAAACTAAAATTATTGTTGAAAACTCATGCTGTACTTTGTCCAAATCTATATATGTCTATATGTCTGCAAAGTATTCACTGTTTCATCCTAAGAAATTAATTAGCTATTCCATCTGCTTTAGTAGCTTTAGATTCAGATCAGAACAAAAGTGGGACCAGAAAACTGGCTGGAGAAGTATCCAGTGTACTCCCAAACACAACACAAACCTCTGCCTGATAAATCCTGAGAGTAACGTGTAACACCATATCTTGAGTGACTCACACTCTTGCAGAACCACAGGTTCCTTTCAGCCTTCCTGCACCTATGCAACAATACACTGTGGATATGACACATTTGATGAAGGTGACAAATCACAGTTACAATTTAGCAATGCACTCCTGTCATCTGATCTTGGTGTTGCAATAAGGGGTTAAAAAAGAGGAATGGGTTGGTATTTGGGAGGAGAGAAGTAACTTGCTAAACCACAAAAACTGTTTTCACAAGAAGAAAAAAATGTGAATATTGTCTAAAAGTGCTTGAATTATTTGAATTTTAAGATATAAACTTCTGAAATTCAGTTTTATTGATAATAATCAAGATTATTTCATTTTTATTTACAGAATAAAATTTTTCCATTATTATTTGTAATGATTGGTCTTAAAATATTATTTTTTCAGATGGAAGAGGTGATTGAAGACATAATCAATATGGAATCAAGTTTTAATGATGAAGGGATAGGTTGTTCTGAAACTCCTCTACTGATGCAAAGAACGGTAAGTATTTTGTGGAATTTCAGCTTGCTGTTTATAATGGAGAATTTAATTGAGTGATTCAAGCACACATCACATTTCAGAGGGTAGAGCAGTACTATCAGTGGATTATTCTCCTTTCTCTTCAATTGCTTGTCTTTTTGTCAAGTAATATTACAGGAAAGGTTTCCAGTGTGGTGGGACACAGCTGTTTTAAGTGTCATGAATAGCATTTGGGGTTCTAGCCCAGCATCAGGTCTGGTGCATAACGCATTGGAGGTACTAATTCCCATACAGGGCTATGGATATGAGGAGTTTCTAGACCCTAAAAGGCCTTTTAAAGTCTTGCTTAAAGATCCTTCTACCTCATCTAAAAAGTTAAAGCTTCTCCAAGTAATAGTTTCTACAGTACAGTAGTTTCCAGTTTCTTATGCTGAAGCAAGGGCAGACTCTATTTCTTGACTTTTTTCATAAAGGCAAGTTGGACTGATTTATACTGGGAACCTTTTTCCACAGATTTTTCCCTCAAAGCTTTAAAATGGGTACTGATAAAGGAAAACTTGACTCTGGTGAAAGCGGAATGATTTTCACAGGCTTTAACAGTCTACAAAGCTCGTTTCAGAACATAGAGTCAGGTGCTTACTCTTAATCATCCACTGGAGGAACACCTTTTTCTCACTATGGAACATCACTGGCTACAAAAATACAGCAGTTGATAAGATTCATAGACCTCTGTGTTGCCCAGTATTGCACAGTCCAGTATTAAAGGCAATTAATAGTTCTGTGAATACCTGGCATTTCCATGTCAGCCACAGAACTAGTACGGTCAGTCTGATTTATACATATCTCAGTATAGAACATAGCAAAGAAATGCTCCCTGGGGAGTGAATTAATATTTTGGCTCAAATTAATGTGAGGCAGGGGAGGATCCTTTCAGGTTCGGTACTGTGGGCTGGTGATGAGAGGCATGAATTCTGGGTTTTGGATTAGAGTCATACTCCCTCAACACCTTTTAAAACTAGATGATGTTAATCTATGCTAATTCCAGCCCCATTAGCCTTTATCTTCAGCCATGAAGGACATATCTCTCTAAAAAGTATTGAATAGACTATTCTTGACAAACAAGGAAATATGTAGTGACTTTTAAGCCTTGCTGGTATCTTACTTGCAAAGACTTGAGACTCCTGCAATGCCTGTGGGCCAGGTAATTGTATTTACATTTTCGGTTGTGCTGAGGACATCACCAAGCTGATAGATAAGCCAGGGAATAGTGTATATTTCCTAATGTCCCTGTGTAATACTATGGCAAAATGAAGCCTGCCTTCAACAAGGCATGCAAACTGTGCCAGAATGAAAGCAATCAAGCACTGTCTCTCCCTCTTTTGTCTTCTTTTTTGGCAATGTGTACTCAAAAAATATATGAAAGAAGTGGGCAGATGAAGGAGGTTTCAGGCATTTGGCTTGTTGCTCGGGGCTTTCTGGCAATCTTTCAGGCAACATCCCAAACCTGCCTGCAAAATTTTTGTCATAAGCTGTGTAGTAGAGAAAGACAGAGAAGCAGGTAGAAAATATGTTCTTTAGATTCAGTTTTTCATAAACTCATTAAATGTAATGACATTTTGTTTATCTGAGTTAAAAATATGTATATTACAACAATGTTGGATTAGGAAGCGTAATCAAGAATGAGAGAACATCTGATTCCCTTGAGAACATGAACTGGGGTTATGCTGTACTTAAAATAGATTTGTATTACTTGCTATGTACTTCTGCACAAGGTGCCTGGCTATGGTGGCTGCCATCAGCATAGAGTAAGTAAGATCACAAGTGAGACTGAGTTGCCTGTGTGCCTGACTGATTCAATGTCTGCTTCCTACTCACACTTCTCCAGTGTAATGCTTAAACATTTTTAGAATTGCGTCTTAGATTTTTTCCTTCTTAGCATTGTCTTGAATTTGTCCAAACTGTGCAAAAGTGTCTCCCTAAAATTCTGAAAAAAATCTAAGTCTTCTGGTTTTCTGAATGTGGTATAGGGGTTGGGTTTTTCCAGCAAAATCCTTTTTTGAACAAGCCAAATTCATGAAGCTATTTTATTTTCTTATTTTTCTCAATAGAAAGTGGCTGAGATTAGAGATTTTGCAGTGCTACCTGTTCTGTATTGCAGTGAATTAATGTTCGCTTTAGTTAGATGCACCCATGTACCATTTTTATGGCACATTAAATGAGGACATTGAATTCTATGAGACCATTCATGTGAATAATTTCTCAGAGGCTCATTGTCTGACCCTGAATTAATGAATTACAGTCATGTATTAGTAGAATCAGAGAAGTGAAAACAAGAACATCCCTCCATCTCTCATTAAAATTATTACAGCTTCTGGAGTGGATTGTCTGGTTTTTATTGTGTTTGGCCCCAAAATAATAATTTTATAAAATTATTAATTTTTTGGGTGGCAACTTAAGAATTGCTTAAAGTAGGGAATTCTCTGGCTGTGTTTCTATTGCTCTTAACAGTACCCCAATAGTAGAAACCTACTTTTTACAATTATTTTTTAGAAGTTAAGTTAAAATATAAGACTAGGTCTTCCCTGTATGCAAGAGGTCTTGATTCTCATGGAAGTATTTGTAAATTCATTTATATCTTTGTCCAGAAAACATAGCTGAAATCAAATCATAACTATTCTTAAGAACTATCACTTGATCAAAACTGTTTGTTCACTATGGAGAAGGAAGGATTTGATAAAGAAATCTTGAAGATTATACCAGTTTAAAATATTTTTTCCCTGGTGTAATAATTTAGTCTTATGAATGTCTTTACTAACAGACAGCAACATATTTATCTATATTTTATGAAAATCAAATTCTTCTCTGAGTCTTGTATTAGGAGTGCATTAGGTTTCTTCCTGACCTTATAGGAATCATTAAAAAAATGAAACAAAGAATATATGAGTGAGTATGAGGTAAATAATGTTATGTATGACAGATACTTTAAAAGTAAACATTTTTAATTTTTATCAGACCTTTATTCTTATTCAAGATCCTCACAGCCTATTCAACATTCTGTAGTGAATTTAAAGTTTATTAACTTCCAAATACTCAGAACATAGGAAATGCAGATGTGTAGTTCTGTTAATGTAAAGCACATATAACACCATCATTAAAAGTTTGTGGTAAGTTCTAAAAAGCTGTGGTCTAGATACCTTTTAATATCTGAAAAGGGAAGCTAAAGAAACATGCTGTATCAAGGGAGATATGGAGAGCAGTAGTCACAGTGAAGAGAGACAGAAAAGAGCAGAGTTTAAAAAAAGGATCTCTGTGCCTTTCTGGGTTGAATTTGATACTGGGTGACCTAGTGAACCTCTGCTTGTTACTAAATGTTGTTTTCTTTCGCTAATATATGTAGACAGCCCTAGGACCCACCAGAAACCCCAGTAATTTAGCAAGCACAATAGTAATTTCTATGAAAACATTTAGCATTTTACAAGTACTTTCATTCAAAAATAACTGCTGTAGACCAGATAATCAATATGCAGCTACTGGGATAATGTCCTCTACTTGACATGCAGTCCACTAAAACTTACATTAAAAGCATTTGGATTGACTGGCTTGGAATGAGAATAAAATGAGAGGCTATTAATGTTCTGCAAGAGCATAGGCTTCGCTTGTACCATGCTGGGTGGGACAGGCTGGAAAATAATTTAATTTTGTGGACATTTCCAAGGATCTTAAGTTGTCTTTTGTTCTGGTGCAGAGGAAACCAAGAGGTTTCAGAAGTATTCTTGAAGAAGCCAAGGTTCTGTAGCAATTAGATGGTTGGTGGTGAGAGCTAAGGAGTAGTGTAGAGTATTACTTGGAGCAGAGCACTACTATAACACTGGACTTCAATAAATCCCTCTCAGTGTCCTAACTGGTGATCTGTTGAATCAGGTGGGCTTACTGTTGCTGCAGTAGTAGGTATTAAATGACTAAATAAAACGGAGCAGTCCCTCTTGGATTGTTTGGGAGAAAAGGGAAAGCTTCTCATGGAAAAACTTTTCATAGATCTTTTACTATGTCCACTAGTAGAACAAAAAAAAAAAAAAAAAAAAAGTTTCTATGTTGATTTGTTAATAATATTTAAGATTTTTTTTTTTTTAATTATTCCCCTGAATAAGTTTGCCAGTGGGAATGTTTCCTGAAAGCAATGGCTTCTAACCAATAGAAAGCACAGATTTTATTATTATATGTGGACTAATGCACCATGAATGTGATCTGAAGACTTATTCTCACTCAGGGAATAGAATAACCTTGGTAGTCATAAACAAAGCTGGGACAAATAGTAGTTAAAACAAGTTATTTAAAAAAAAAAAACCCTAAACCAAAACAAAACAAGTCTGCAAAATACATTCCAAAATTGTTATTTCCTTTAAAGGAAAGAAATACTTAAAGATTTGAAACAGCATTAGTTCCTCCAACAGTTCCAGCTCTAGCTGCATACTGAAATCGTTATGGTGTCATTAATGCTTTGAAGTTCACATCATCTCAGAGATTTAGAGCTGTCACAAACAATGAACCTTTTGTTTGGAACTTTGGCTGTCTACAAATCTAACAAAATTTCTTCAGTCCTTTGAATCTGACTTGGTGTACGTGGTATTTATATGATG